CATGAGACTTGTGAATCTCAGTCATGCGCGAATCGAACTCAGTAGCCACAGTTGTCTGCACACACACCGCCAGAACACCATAAGCCACCCCTCCAATACCGCAGCAGGCATCGATCATCCTGTGGTAGTTAGACCAAGTGTGCCCAAGATGGTGGAAGACCTTTGTATCAAGACTTGTAAGCACAGGTACTGAGAATTGTAGAATGACGATGGCATCAATCAAGGTCACAGTAGCACATCCTCTTGCAAGCAACCCATTGTATGTCACCAGTCCGTCAATAGGTTTGACTCTCAGCACAAGGGAACATCACCCAATCCGTAAAGACCACTAAAGACCGCTAGATCATGGCACGAAACCGGACCACAAAGCTGCTATCGCGCAACCCAAGAACAGTTGCGCTGGCATTCTTGCAGCTTTCTTCAGGCAATAAAACCAGCAGTTTGCAAAATGCTTCGCGGAACTCAAAGTAAAATGCTTTGCTTCCGGCTGGCTGACAGCTCAACACACACCTCCGCCTGCTGCTCACTAACCTACCCAAACGTGATTGAATTTACCCCCGGGCACTCAGATGGGTCTCCTTCATCGCTCCTGCAAGGCTCTGAAACAGAATGCAGATGCGCAGCAGCAAATCGAAAATATCACCCTCATTGCTTTGGGTTTCGGGCCGAGATCCTCTAACAAGTAACTGGCTGGAGAGCCAAGGGCTGAAAAAATAAGATGACATGAACCACAAGCCAAGCAATTGACTACTTGTTGTTTTTTTGTTCTTGTTCTTGTTGTTGTTGTTGTTGTTCTTGTGGTTTTTTGTTATTGTGGTTGTTGTTGTTGTTGTTGTTGTGGTGGCGTGGGTGGTTCTTGTTGTTCTGTGCCTTCGCCGGTGCTTCAGTGAGGTCCTTCCTCTCTCGCCTCTTCTTGTTTTTTTGGCTCTCTGTGCGCCTTCTTCTCTTTTTCATTCTCGGGTTCTTTCCCTTCCTCTCTATCTCTATCGCTGTTTTCTGAACGGTAAGATCACTTCGATCGCTCCGCCCTCCCGGCCCTGTTGCTTTGCATCATCCACATTGTTCAATAAACCTTGCAACCAAGTGGCTCAGGACCTCCCTGTGTGCAAGTCGCTCCCTATAAAGCAAATCCCAGCATTTGGGCAACAGGCATGGTGATGGCCTTGGGACGCTTGGCAGCATATTCCGATGGCTTGCCTCAATCAGCAACGTACCCCTGAGCCTAAAGCCTTTCATCGGGATGGGATGTTCCTGCTGTTCCGGGGGTTGCTTTCTATCTGGGGTTTTGGCTTTTTGCCATGCCAGCACACTATCAACTATCCCAGCACACCCCCCTCAGCACATCAGCCAATAGCTGCTCATGGCTATGCCAGCACCCTCAGCACATCAGCCAAAAGCTGCTCATGGCTACGCCAGCACCCTCAGCACATCAGCCAAAAGCTGCTCATGGCTATGCCAGCACACCACCCTCAGCACATCAGCCAAAAGCTGCTCATGGCGCTCATGGCTATGCAAGCACAGCACCATCTGGCTGGTCATGCCAAATATAATTCTTGTTGCGCTGGTTGTAAGGCCTAAGACCAATTGAGCAAGAAACAAACCAAAAGTTGAGCCAAAAGTGTTTGATGATACAAGGCTGATTTGGCCACATATAGTATATAATATATTGTAGTAATAGTATAACACGTACATAATGCTGTGATGTGCACACGTGTGCCCTTTGACCTTGCCATGGTTGGTTGGCAACACTTTCCTTTTTTTCAACCCAAGAGCTCCAGGTTCTCCATCAGCGGTGTTCACGTTTTCACCTTGAAAGTGAAAACTTTATCCATTTGGCATCTGACATCAAAAACGGTGATTTTGCTGGACCAAGGGTCTGTTGTGACCTCACTTGAACGCACGACAAAGCGCAACTCTTCTTCAAACACTATGTCAGAGCCAGGCACTTTCAGCACCTTAAAATCATGGAACCATTTCAAAATTTGCGAAGTCGCTTCATCATCAGCGTCAGCAAGTGTTTCCCACTCAGTAGTCACTGGGGTCAAGGAACAACAGGAACAGCAATATAGATATTTCTCTGCTGGTAGGGTTCCTCCGGGCCATTCATCTATGCCTGAGGTGTTGAAACATGTTTTCAACCTTAATAATTTTTGAACATTTTTGACCCCTAATGTGAATCAAACACTTAAGTTTGAACCAAGTTGCCAAGCCAAAAAAGGGTGGCCATGTCGACAGTCCCAAGGGTTGTCTTTTCAACGTGCCAAAAGGCTGCACTCGAAGTAAAGAAAACATAAGAAAACCATCATCAACTGACACATGTTAAGAACAACAGACTGGTTGGTTCCAAGAAGATGCACCTGAATAATTAACTAGTGGTTTGGCTCAAAAGATGGGGTGCCAATATGCGCCAATGGAACCACAAATTTGATCATTTTGGGGAATAAACCAAACATTTTTTGGGGTTGATAGTTTTGAGCCATACCATGCCATACCCATATTAAATACAGGAACGCAAATTTATCCACCCTTCTGACGCGAACATCATCTAACGGAGTCATGTGTTCAACCGTTTTTATGGTTGATGTTTCCTTGGCATTCTGCTAGCAATGAACGGCACGTGGGACATGCAAAACAAATAGTTGTCCTTGGAAAATAGTAATGGAATATAGTAATAGTAATGGAATAGTAATGGAATAGTAATGGAATAGCAATGGAGTGTGAATGGAATGTAATAGTAACGGAAAATAGTATTGGTTCACTGGCCGATTTCATGCAGGCAGGCGTTGAAATCTGAAATCTAAGTTTCAGCGTGCCACTCAAAACTCAACGCGAGTCTGCTTTTGGCCTGTCATGGGCTTGACTAGTGGGCAGATTACTCAACAAGAAAAACAACAATGCTTCAAACGGCTTAAAATGAATGGGGTTGATGTATATATATATATATGTTGATATGGGTTGCTCTAAGACGTCACCGACTAACTTTTGATTGTCATGTTGATCAAGCAGCTATTGGCTGGATAGTAGTTTCAAGGGAACTGTTTGTGACTCTTTTGAAACATATCACCAAGAGTTTTTCTTTGAAAGAAAAACTATTGATGATGCGGGTTCATTGATTGAGTTGCCTCACTCTTCAGGGTCATCTTCGCGCAGTTCTTCTTCGCCCCCTTCTTCAGGATCGATCTGAGCTAGGGTATTGTCATCAGCACCGTCATCATCAGCTTCCATGTAAGCCTTCTTCATAGATTCCTCACAAAGCGTGACCAAGTGAAGAGACATGACAGTAATGACAGTAATTAACTGTGACTTTTTATGGCACACAGTTTTCATACATAACATGTCAAAATGTTGGCAAGGCACAACCAAATCGGTAGCCATCTTAATGTTGCCATTCGTGCGGACCAGCTCAGCCTTTGCGGCATCCTGGGACCACGCTGGTTGTTTGAGACATATTGGGAAAATATGTTTATCAATTTAGCTGTGAAAATCTTGAATCTCTGTTGTTGACTTGACATGATGATTCGATTTGAAAACAATGTGAGTCCATTTTCCATGTTACGAGCCGAGCGGCTGCAATGGTTTCCATGACTTCGGCAGAAAGGCCTTCCACGGGCTTCACCTGAGCGAGAGGGGGTTGGAGTAGTGCAAAACATGTGAACAAACGTATGAATCAAGCATTTTGATTTGCATACATGTGCATGATTGCGGTGTGATCCCCTGACCCTAAAATATGTTTTAAAGCCTAGTCACAGTCATTCGCTGCTGGCCATCGATCTTGAAGCCCCAAACTTGGGTGTCCTTGTACAAGTATTTGTAATTTTTTTTCACTGTGCTCGTTTTTTTTCCACGGGCTTGCTTTCTTTGGTGGCAGCTGCTGGGCGTTTCATCCCCTTGGTTGGCTTGGACTTTGGCTTTGCAGCCGGTTTCTTGCAGACCTCCTCATCCACTTCCTCCGACACACTTACCTCCTGCTCTGGTGAATGAAGCTGAACGCTCATCAGGTTCAGTATCTGTGGGTTTCTTATTTCCTGTTTTCTTCTTCTTCGGAGACGCTTTGGGTTTTTTGGCCACTGCTTTGTTTTTTTTTCACCATGCTTTGTGCTTTTGCCTGGCTTTGTGGTTTTCTCGTTTGTCTTTGACCCTGCGCTCTGTTCAGGGGCCCGTGGCTGGATATCCTCATCGGAGAGGGCATCCACTTCTTGCAGCACCATGGCTGCAGCTACAAACCTGTGAAACCCCAATCCTGACATAGATGTTGTTTTTTTCGGAAAAACTATATATGAAAAACTGTATGATGAATTAATAGTGACACGCAGGGCAATTCAAATGGCAACGGTTTTCAATGAACAAAATGTCAGTCACTGCTTTGTATCACATCTAACTGCAGCACAATCTGAATGAGGTGCAACATGGTGCAATCCTACGCATCGCTGATTTCATCTCGGCTCCAACTTCAGGCGCTGAATCTTGTAGTCGCAGCGCCAAGCCCCAAGAGTTCTGGGTTATCCCGAACTGGTCAAAATGAGAGTGCACCTACTGACTTGTGAAAGGTGGCATGGGGTCCAAAGTAAACCAGAAAATGTTGGGTTATGTTCAAAATTATTTCCCATGAAGAAATGACATTGCAGATGTTTGCAGATAGTTTGGCAATATCATGCAGCATCATCCCCTGAATCCACCACATACAAGCCTTGCACTCAAATCCCAAGCCTTCACTTCAATTTGACGGCCGTGCCAGCACTGATTTTCAGCTGGCCAAGTAAGAACATCTTTGGCTTCAGGGGCACGATCGTACATGGAAGTCCTTCCGTAACCTTGACCTGGCAGGCGATTGGCTGTGTGGTGGATGTATGAGAATGGAAGACGCTTGGCACCCTATGGGGGTTGTGGCTTTCTGTGAGTGTACTGTCTTACCCATAGGATCCATGTATGCTATATATGGTAACATTTACCATCAGTATACCCCCAATGTTAGCATATATACCATACATGGATCCTATGGGTTAATGAAGGTCGAACCAACCAATTTCGAAATCGTTTTTTATGTTTTTTGGGGCACCCCCAGCCTCCCATACCAAAGTACAGTAGGAAGATCGGGGCAATTGGCCAAAACGACCATTGTAAAGGGCTCCAAATTGAGCCGCCCTCAAGTTCAGCTTGTCCTCGCTGGACAGATCCTTCGGCTTGAAGGCATTGACCTTGTGGTCCGGAACCACTTTGTAGCGGTAAGAAAGTGGGATTTGACTTCCGTCACCCGTCACCTGCATGAGAGCCCCCCAGAGGATTAAGCATGATTAAACATAGTATGGTTCCACATGGTTCCACTTTAAATCATTGTTATTTGTTATCCCATTTTTCAAACTGGGGACAACCGAAGCTTTAAGAACCCTACCGACCTGCATCTTGGGCTGCAGGGCATGGTCTGTCACCCGAATTTCGGTGACGCCACGGGTGCGTGTGATATCGCACATGGTATCTGCCACCGTACTAATCTTCTTGCCAGATGCAGATACCAAGCACACCACCGTATTGTCGTTGGTGACATGCCATGCAATGGTCCCGCTCTGCACCATGCACTGATCTAGCAGGGTCACACCAAAAGCATAGAAAGATATTTTGGGTGGCAAATCCAACATGTGGGTTTGTCTCAAAATGGGGTACCCCCAAAATCGATTGTTTATCATCATTTTCCCTATTAAATTGTCATCTTGAAATATCCCCCATGTTGAGACAAACCCATGTTGCAAGTACAGTGTTTACTAGATCCAAGCCTGACGGGACTTCCTGGAAAGTTCCTGTATTGAATCCAAAAATTTCCCCTGCTGGTAGAACGATGTCGTTGCCACTGCGATTCACCAACCACAAGCTTCCCAAAGAGGTCAAAACAATTTGGATCTGGGGCTCACGGGCCAGGACACCACAACCTTCTGGCCTTAAAGATGAGTTGATGTGTGATGTTGGAATCACCCCAATGGAAAAGTAGAAATCCGAACATCTTAGAATCACACTAAATCCAGCTAAGGGCACGTGTTTCCAGAATCGAAGTCAGCCAGTGCAATACCAGTGAGTTGCACTGACTTCTGCCAGTTGACTGGAGCATCCGGGCCCCACTCTGGACTTGCCAACGTCCTGCTTTCCGTTCCGGCTGAGGATGTTGGAGTGGAAAACATCTTCACCGACTTCTGCATAGCGGCCTCTTGGCTGATCGATTCTGAAATGGCGTTGAGGCCATCACTGTGGGTTGTGGCATACTTCTGCATCACCAGATCGGGAATCCTGGGATTGGGTAAGTTCATATAATTTTCAAAAACGGTCCTGGAGGGTTTTGAAAACAGTGGATGAAAAAAACAAAAACAGTGTTCAAGGTTTAAGGGGTTTTGAAAACATTTGAAAACAGTGGATGCAAACAAAGTGGCTTGACCGACCCATCAGCCACTGTCAAGCATTCCAACTGGGGGAGGTCCACTGCAAAGGGCTCAGAGCTTCTTGCAGCAGGGCCCGATTCTTGTGATTGATCCCACCACTGACTCATTGCCCTTCCAGTGATCAAATCTTTGGCCTGATCCATGAAGTTGTCGCTGTCATGATGCAGTGACATGAAGTGACAGTCCCAGTGCTTGCAACTTTCGTCTCCAAGCAAAAATCCACGTTGGAGGTCCCATGCAGCTTGAGACCATTCGGAAAACCTATCCAGGGGCGGTTATACTTTTGAAATAATTATGCGAAGCACCCAAATTAGTTAGTAATGGGAACATACCCCAAAGCCCAAGAAACAGTAAAGAAGAACACGCCTTGATGGCACCATGTCCACCAGTAAGACCTTGTGGCCATCCCGTTCGTTCATGCCATCCAGCAGCTTGAGCAAAATCTCTTTGGTGGCAGGGATCCCGCGTTGTTGAACCTCACATGTCCAATGAGAATTGTTTATTTTGTGACATTATGATATCAATTGTTCCCATATTGTTCCCCACTGACATGTGAATTAGATGTCAAGAAGGCGAAATCATTGTTTGAAATCAGAGGGTGAAATCATTTTTTGAAAACATGTGACAACAACCCAGTAACCCTCCAGTGTGGAGCAAGGGCTTTGTCGGGATCTGGGTTCTGAAGCTCCTGGACCCTGCTCCTCTCCACCCCGCTGATCGTGCCAAGGAGGCTCTTGGAGTGAGAAAATGCCACATTGGTTTGGCCGCTGGAGACCCCAGCCAAACCTTGGTCGGGGGATTGTTTTGGGGAAAAATGTTTGGAACTTAGATATGACATATTATGAAATCAGTGTTTGGGACGGCGTTGTGCCAAAATAATGTTGGGATCTTTTGGGAACCCCCACCATAATAATGGGGGAACCGTTTGACATTGGGAATTTCCGATGATAAAATCCAGAGTTAAAACATTGATGGGTGCCTGAATCATCCCAAATCATAAACCAAGAAACATTGCTGCGACTTTTTGCGGCGATCTCCCTGGTGACTGGAATCTTGGAAATTGAGGGCGATTTCATAGACATCCATCGACCTTGAAACTAATGATGGGACACTGAATCACAGTTTTTTTTGGGATTTCTTCTTTGGTTGGAAAAATACACAATGTGTAAAACAAATGAACATAGAACCTGGACTGGTGTTTGTAAACCTAGATGCCCGATCACCTTGTCCTCGAGCAACCTCCGGTTCTTCAAAACAGATTGTTTGCCCATGCTCGAGTGCCATTGTGGCAACAGCCAGAAGCTGACAGTGCCAGCATTCCCACTTGCAACTCCCTGGGCCAGCGTGACGGACTCATCGATGGACAGCGCTCCTCAAAATGGATCAAAATGGGTGAATCTAAATGGAAATGTGTAATTGTGGGATAATTAATTATGTGTTGTTAAATCCTTTCCATTGGGGAGTGGATTAAGAAGTTCAAAATCAAAACCGACTTCAATCAAGGGACGGGATGGCCAAAGGGTAAAGTCACCCACAAGGATGGTCAGCCTTTGTTGGCTTTGGAATGGTTTGGAAAACAAATGACAATCATAAAAGGATATCGTTAAGATCCCCTATATATCCCCATGCAATTTCAATGGGTGAATTCCAGCTGAGAAACGCAGAGGCACCCAATTCACCCTGGGCCTGGACAATGGCCGCATGAGCCAGCACCAAGGAAGAGACTCGAAGGAACTTGTGCTTGGAGTTCATGAACTCTTCGATGGAGGTGCGTCCCTTCTGGTACCGGTCATTGATGTATTTGAAGTCAAGGGATGCCTGACAGGGAAACCACATTCAGAATAAAGCTGGTGGTTTATTTTTTTTGAACAACCAAGCCTGTTTGTTGGCATACAAATCAAATTTGGCCGCCCACTCACGCAGCTTGGCCAAATCGCTTTGGCACTGGAGCTCCATTTGCTGGTAAGTCGTTTGAAGTAGCTGGGCTGCGAGCCTTTTACTCTGAGAGCCCCACCCAAAAAAATATGTTAGGGAAATCACGTTTGGGGAACCAAAAAACATATACAGCCAAAGAGCTGCTCTGCTTTCACTGTGGACTCCTTCTCAACCTGATGGGGCCCAAGATCCACAGAATTAAACGGTGTCAAACTTGTTTTAGTGTGGGGATGTTTTTATGAGGGGTGGTTGGCATGGTGATTACAAGTTCATGGTGTCAATGGTCATTGCAAAGTTAAAATGGTCATGTTCTTTTTGCCCAGCACACCTCTTTGTTGTACTTCCCCAAGGGTTGCGAAAAGATTGCAACCTTCGTGATGTCTGCCGGAGGCACCGTCGTCTCCATCATTTGCAAGATGTCGGCATCTCCATGCCGCATTTCGAACCTCAAGGATCTGAAGGGGGGATCCCCGGTCTTTGGGAAAGTTTTGAAAGGATTATGATGGGTATAAAAAAGTAATAAAAAGTAGAGGGGACAAAGCAAAGATTAAGAAAACAATACAATAATTATTGTGATAATAAGGAACGCCTTGTGAATTTCGACCAATGCCTGGCTGGCAAATTTTGCCGGCACCAAAGATTGGAACTGGTCAATGCACGCTAGGAAGCCACCACAGGCTCTTTGTAGCTGGGCCTTCGGGAGTTCAAATTTCATACGAAAAAAGAGTTTGGGATGGATTTGGGATTCTTTAAATTTTGGTGTTGATACCCTTTACCAATAGAATGGGGACCATGAAGAAGTATGTGCAACCATGAATCAAGATCTTTGGAGTTCCATGGCTTTCGCATCTTCGGTGCGGTGGCCATAAAGTCCTTCTGCATTCGAACCACTAAGAGCTGTAAGAGCGGATGGGTGTTGCAAAGGAATTGTTTCCAGGGCTGAAGAAATCCCGTAGCAGTGTTGTGCCCATGGTTCAACAACCCTTCTGCCAGCGCATCATGATTCAGAAAGCGTGGTTGGGTGTAAATCCTGAGGCTTCCAGTTTTGTTTCGGGCAATCCCACAAAAAAGTGAGATAGATTTATTGAGGGAAAACCCCAACCCCAAAAAAAAACATACAATGTAATACTATAACTCAAGACTCCGCACCAGCTCGGTCAGGGCGTCCTTGGTGTCCTTGGGGATATGTTTCAGCAAGTTCACTGCTGCAGCTGACTCCTTCTCCCCCAGTTGGTAGGCTGCAGCAAATGCTGATACACTCTGATGTGCCTCATTCGGAAAGATTGGATGAAGTGGATTAAGATGATGAAGTGTTCACAAACTCTGGCCCCCTCTGAAAGAAACACGTTTTACTGATAATTGTGATGTGGTTGTAATATGTTGTAATCATGGCTGAACCAGTTTCATTAATCATTGGGTTTCATTTCAAAACTATACTGGCCTCCAGCGACTTGATGGTCATATCCTCTGTCATCCCACTCCTTTCCAGGAACTCCAATTGATGGAGCAGGTTGAAGGCGTTGGGGCGGCGCCGGAGTTGGCTTCCGAGTGTGACACCTTAGATGGGAAGTTGATGGAATTTCAATACGTATTTGGGAAGTTGGGGTTGTGCCAACATGACTCACTTGCAGCTGGATGACCCCTGTTCGTCGACACAATCATGTTGCCGTCAGATTGAACCGCAGAGGCATAGATTGTGCTGAAGGACCTATATCAAAAATAAACAAAAAAAACAATGGGAATCAATGAGATATTTCAAGGTATCACTCAAATTGCCAGCCAACAGTTTCAGTTCATTTCAGTCCACTCAGTCAGTCAACATGAACGCACTGAATTTGAGCTAAGTTGCGCTCGCACTTCTGGTGGCATTTCCTCCCCGGAGAAACGCAATTTACAATGGGTAATCACAAGTAATGGGTAGTCAGCAGTTCAATGGGTAGTCAGCAGTTCAATGGGTAATCAGCAATGGGAAATCACAGTGATGGTGTGTCCCCAATCCTTCAAAAGCTCGGGCTTCTGAAAGCACGCCATCAAGACTCCCAAGCAGCACAGGGATCTGTTCCAGCCTTTGACCAGAAACAAAGTCCCTGGGTTGGCCAAGCTCCCCTCTCCAATCTGCGAAGACGCGATCGTGGTTGGCTTGTTGTAAAGCCATTCTGTTCTCACTGAGCACCCCACGATCTTTTCATTTCCCGGCTTGTTTGGGTCTGTCTGGAATCCATTCAACAACACCAGTTGGGCAAGGTAATGCTGCACTTCCTCAGTTTGGCAGAAAACACGCATATGTTAAGCATTGACATGTTATTTCAGATTGTCATACATATCTTGATCATTCCTAATTTCAACTTTTGAATCTGACTTTCATCAAAGGTTCTCCATCGCTTGTCCCCCGGAGCCCGTAGTCTGCCCTGTGTGGCAACTGCCACGGTCGCAGGAACAGCGATGTCCCTTCCACCTGGAGGTCAGCTGCCGTGCTGTACGACCTGGGCATGGGACAACATCATTGGGTCTTACAATATTAAGCTAATGTTTTTTTTTACTAAGGGCCTTACACTGCTGGATCTGGTGGGAACTCAGCTTCGATGAACTTGTAAAAGGCTTTCGCTGCTGCCTCCCAAGGTGATTTATAATATTCATAATGATTCATACGGTGGTTGATCTATGATAGAATTATGTTGATCTGACATCATCATATAATCTTCATAAGTGCATTTGCTATGATATGGCCTCCTTTCTGAGCTCATGTGTGAGGAAGACATCCAGGGTCTTGTTGACCGAGAACAGGTTCTCTTGCCTGGGTCGATGAAGGTGGTTCATGTTTTCAAAACAGTTTCAAAATCAAATAAATCAATCTCATTATTTGCTGAAAAGGTGCGCCCAGTCATCATAGATTCGAAGATGGGGCAACTTCATGGCATCAGGTGGAACACTCAAGGTAGCATTGTTACCTTTCTTACTCGCCTTGGCCTTAGACCCAGCCGTTCCAGTGCTAGGTGCCTTCCGCTTTGGGCCGCCCATTGCCTGGCATGAGGCAAGGATGGTGGGGAGGAAAGAGATGGTACAGCAGTTGGAAAAACAGTTGGTCAATGAGTGATTTGTGCATGCCCGATTCTTCACAAAATTGAAGTCTCAGTGAGATGTTCATTTTGTGCCGAATCACGACCCGATCCTGCACAAAATCAAAGGTTTTCAGTGGAATCACTCAAGAAAATTTAGGCAACCCCAAAATTTTTAGCTGTCCCACTGTGAAACCTTTGATTTTGTGCCGGATCACGACCCGATCCTGCACAAAACGAAGGATATCCAGAGGCACCTGATTTGTGCAGAAAGGCCTATGCACAAAACGGTATTTTTTTCTCCCAATCCCGTTCTGGTTCTGGAGGCAGGTGATGTGAAACCTGGTACTGGTAAAAGTATGTAAAGGCCCACAAATTGAAAGACAGCTGTAATTTGATATTGTTTGGATTGTATTGGGCTTGGTTTCTGAAACGAACATGGTTTTGGAGATTTTTGGATTTGAAGGCCAATACTATCCCCCAAAGCTATGGCTACGCAGCAGCCTCTTCCACAGCCTCTGAAACTATCTTGATGGCATCAGACATGTTGATTCCTTTCAACCAAAGCTGACTTGCAGCCCTGTACAAAGCCTGATGGCTACGAGCTCTCCGAAACCTGTTGGCCTCTTGAGCAGGAGGTTTTTCTCTCACAATTTTCAGCTGGCTTGCCGCCTAAGCATTGGAGGCCATTGGATAGTTCAAATGTAAAAAGGATGGAAGGCTAGTTTGATAATTTATCCAAAAGATTCCAAAAGACTTGGTTCCTGACAGCCTCCAATGAGCGACCTTGCACCGTTGGCCAGGCAGACCGGCCAACCGCTGGTCCCAGTTGTGGCAAAGCCCTCAGAACCGGGGGAATGACTGAGACTTGCGAGAATGCAACAACAAAATATAACAAAATATATGTTCATCCAAACCTCAAAATGCTTGGGAATCCCCACCAGCTTACATCCAAGAAATGAGGACTGGTGATCCCATAGGACAGATCTTCAAGCTCTTGCGCAGCACTGTGCATGTCGAAAGGGTCTTGACCTCAAATAGAATGGATTGAAATCCATTAATGCAAATCCAATGATGAAAATCCAAATGATGAAAATTGCTTTTGTTAACACAAGCCTGGGGAAAGGACGCATAAGCTGCGCATATTTCCGGAGGGACTTGCTCTCATCAGACTGGGGGTTCACTGGCTTCTCCATGAAACCTGCACAGTTGAGTCAGCAACCGGAGCATTGAGATCGGAAACCCTCGACTACTATAACCACCACCACCACCATCATCATCCTCATCATCCTCATCATCATCATCATCGTCATCATCACCATCATCATCATTGGCATCATCACCATCATCATCATCATCATCATCATCATCATCATCATCATCACCATCATCATCACCATCATCATCATCATCATGATCATCATCATCATCAATATCAATATCAACATCGACAACAACAACGACGACGACGGCAACAACAACAACAACAACTACTACTACTACTACTACTACTACTACTACTACTACTACTACTACTACTACTACTCCGCCTCCTCCTCCTCCTCCTGCTTCTGCTGCTGCTGCCATTACTACTACTACTACTACGACGACGACGACGACAACGACTACTACGACGACGACGACGACGGCGACAACCACAGGACAAAAAGGACAAAACAGAACAGCAAGAAGAGGGGCCTGGAGGAGAGTCACCCTAAACCCGCTGAGCCACTGAGGCTGGAAGGAACAAGAACGTGGTGGGTTGCCAAGCTTGATCACTCATCCACTGTTTCGTCCTGGGGCTGTTGGCCAAGGGAGTTGTCCAAATATCAAAGCAATGATTTCCTGATGTGCAAGTATCAAAAAATCAAATGAAGTAATGACACTGTCAGTCCTGAGAATCACATCCGATGTGCTGGGCATGTAATCATTTCGATTCCAAAAGGTAGTGTCCAGCGATTCCCTTTTGATTCCTTCCATGCAAGAAGAGCTGCATGAAGTATGCCATCAAAGTTTTGAAGAAGATTTCACAAAACAATGGACGATGATATTGGTTTGTTCAGAGGTCCTGTTGTTCCAATCCTTTCCAATCGCATCACATGAGGTGCCCCTGGGCCACCAATGCGCTTTAACTTCGCATGCCCGAAGTGGAAAGACAGCCAGTTTGTCCTACCAGGGACTGGGGGTAAGATCTGGAAAATGCACCCACATGGATTTTGGTCCAAATATATTTAACGATAACTATTTTATAACCCAAGTCCACCCAACTAGAAAATATGTTTGTGATAGTTCTGATGAGCGTCCAATCTTTGTAGCGGGTGAGCAGTTCAACCGACCTCTCAGGCTCGTATGGCCGGTTCTGGCGATCTTGGAAAAAGTCTTGGAGGCATTGTTGGAAAGCAGCTGGGGTCCAGAGTTCTTTGTGTCGATCTAGATGTGCCCCAAAGAGGGAAAAAAGAGCATCCACATCCTCATGAGAATGTCCGGAGCAGAGGAATGATACCTCTGCTCCGCGTAGCTTGTGTAAAGCTACCCAGAGCGAAAGGACCCTCAATGTACCATTGTTTTTTACTTCTTTCGAACAGTTGTCTGCTTGGAGATTTAGCCAGACTTGGCTAAAGTCCACCCGAGTGGCCATCCGAGTGAGGCCGTGGCATAGCACTTCAGCGGTTCGTGAACTTCCACTTGTGCAGGTGTGTGGGGAGAGGGCCACAAGTACAAGGTGTCCATGTACCAGCAATGTTGTGGAAGTCATACGTGGCCGGTTAAAGCTGCTAAATTCTTTACATGACATCGAACGGGATCGGGGCCATGCATGCTTTTGGGCATCCATGGAATCCAGGATGCAAGTGACTTCACATTCCCCCAGTGTTGTCGCCCCCAGCCTTGAACGAGACCTTGATGCCCAGTAGCATTGCCGATCTGCATGTTGTCGCTTTAAGTGAAGCTGTAGTTGATGGTGTTGTGCCTGTGCTGCGGCTGGGTTGTGCCCACACTTGCGGATGATCAAACGGTGCTTGGTGCAGATCGAACATTTGGAGTGATGTGTGGCGAAGCGAATACGTAGTAAATGTTCGAAGTCCGACTGCCACACCTAGGAAAACAATGCCCAAACACCTGCTACCAACATGAAAATGAAATGGGGAAAAAGCCTACAGACATCCACAGCAAATCATTCAATAAAAGTACAGTCAAACATGAAAAGTTAAGTTGAAATACATCTGGGTATCAGTGCAAAACAGCTTCCGGCTGATCTTCACCCCCGGATAGGCAGCCAAGCACTGCCGCCAGTAATCGCTAATCGAACCATGGGGAAGGTGTTTGATATTTTCCTTGTTCAAGTCGGGTGAATCCCGTTTTTTCAACCCATGTCGTGGCCTCTTGTTCGAGTTGAGCCCGTCAGGGATAGGCTCTGCAATTTCCAGGTGAAGCCTTGTGAGGAAAGTATGCACCTTCTCCCATGTTGAGCTGGGCGGTTGGGGTTCTCTGACCACAAAACGCCCATCATAGGGGCAATACTCTTCCCCGTTTTTGGAAGCTGTATACAGTGTGTTGAACCTGTACTTCCCCATCCCCATCAACTTCATAAACCCTTTGTTACATACCAGTTTGCCCATCAGGCGCAGGTGTCGCGAACCCCGGCACGGAGTGCTGTCCTGAGCCTGGAGGATCTTGTAGACCTGAGTTGAATTGCTGGATCCTTTTTGAGTTTAAACTATAAACTGTATGTATAGATATGTATATATATGTATAGTAAACTTGCACAAGAATGTAAAGATCCACGAAAAACTGGAATACATTTGAGAGCCTGACGTACTTGTCATGCTCGAGCTTTGACAACTTTGCAATGTTCTTTCGAAGCGTCATCCATTCTTGCAGCTGATGTTCATGGGATCGAAAAGCTTGAAAGCAATCTGATTTGCAACCACATTTGCTTCTGATGAGGTTGGCTAGATGTCGTGGATCATGTTTCCCCACATGTGCAACACCCACTTTGACACGAAAAATGCGGCTTCTTGCAGGTAACCTGAGACTGGAGGGCCCTCTTTGCCTCACCCTCGGCACTGCTTCATTGTTCGACTTGGTGTGTCCCTCATCGTCAGATAAGACATCAACTTGTCCAAGAGATGGCATCCTGAAAGAAAATTCCATGTTCTGATGATAGATTCATTGGACCAAGCCTTTACTGTTAATAGCAAAAGTTGTTTGCATTCTCATCAACAGATGTGCACAACAAAGTCATGGCCATCATTCCGAACTGTCCTTGGCCACACCAGTTCAAAAGCTTCCCAGCTGCCAGCTGTCCTGCACGGTTGCACCATGTTTTAAGGTGCGTTGTTGAGAAGAGCAACAACTGATGTGTGTTTGGGGCTCAGTCCTAAAAGTCCTCACTGCGAGCAAAGCCAAAAAAATAGCCCAGCGCATCATATGTGCTACTGCCGTGTCTTATTATTGTAATGCTGGTAGCATGTTTGCTGCTAGCTGTGACGGATGTAAGTTGCTTCAACGATTCAAAGGCATTCAAAGAGACCTGCTCTTATGTTGCCAGTAAGGATTAAGGGCTTTGTATGATCTTGCTATGTCTTGCGAA